GTCTAACGATCCTTTTGTCCGTTCTATTATAGTTATTAATTAATAAAACAATAAGTTATTAATAGAAATAAATGTGTACAAATTTTTATATTTATTTTTATAAGACACTAGCTGTTCCCTTGCGGCGTCATCCGCATGAAAATATGAAAATTTTATTTTATTGTTTACATTTGTCAAATTATCAAAAGTAAAAGTCAAAATGACTTGACATGACAAACCTTGACAATCTTGGTTCCTTGATGTTGTAATTTGTCAACTAAAGAATAAAATAGAAATCTATACTATTATAATAAAGCGTAAACACACACTTCTTTGTTGCCTAAGATTTAAGCCAATTATAGCATATTTTTAAATAACTCTTTTTTTTTAATAAAAAGCCCTATACTTACGTCACGCTTTAGGCTATATTTTTTACGCCATTAAACTTAGGGGGTAAATATTTTGGATAAAAACACTAATGTGGGAAAGAGACCATAAGTTAGTGCCAACATCGAGGAAGCAAGATTGCCATAGTAAGGTAATTGACATTTGTAATTGAGGATTTGACAAATGTAAGCAATAAAATATTTTTTTTCCAAATTTCATGCGGATGAAGTCGCACGGGAACATCTAGTATAAGATATAAGTTAAGTACGTATAAAGTTTTTCAAGTTAAAGTAGTCAACAAATCGTAGTGAATAAGGAAAAAGCAATTTATATGGCAGAAACAAAACCAATCAGAAATTTACTCGAAGCCGGATAAAGTACGATCTTTCTTTGTTCATTTGTTTTATTTGACCTACTCCCAAATCCCTTTGGATTTATAATATATCGCTTAAATCAGAGATATACGGGCATTCAAACGATTGCCTGACCTTTGGGGTCACCGATCACTTGGCTTGTGAAAATACCTTCAAATTCCTATTGCCTTTGTTATTTACTAATCTATACATCGAAAAAGAAGTATAATCCACACAGAGATTTATCTCAGCATTGTAGGAATAGCAAAGTAATTTAGTCTTCTATAAATATAAAAGCCTCCCGGGTTTTATTACTATCCAAATACTGTCCTAAGTTATTTATCAGACTTTCCTATCTTTTGTTTCATATCGCTAACTAGATATAGCTCGCGACTTCGTCCGCGTGAGATTAAATAATAATAAATATAGCCTATGTTTCTCACAGATAAATTACCTTTGTAACAGCGAAAGAATCATTGAAATCTGCTTAATAGTTTTTGAGTTATTTCAATACATACAAAAATAAAAATATTTCCTCTTTAAAATATTAGTATACATATAGAAGTATAGATTATACAACATTTGTAAAAATTACCCAAGTACAAGCAATAACTTAAGGCATCTTTTTTTTAATTTAATAATAAAGCAATTTGACAACGTCTCCTTTGTTTCAGAAAATGTTAATATTTGATAATTTTGTCGCTTATAGATTGCAGGAAGGAAGCCCGTAGCACCCTGTAGCCCGTAGCTCCTCCGTAGCTCGTAGCTAGCGCGTAAATAATGGACGATGTCAAACAAGGGTTAGTATGTCTGTCATCGAACTCCTTAAATAAATAAAATGCATTCGATTTATGAATATACTAGCATATGTGCAAAGAATAAAAAAAATGCTTCCTACTTCAAAATCCAGAATGGCCGGATATTGAAACGAACCTTAATCTTCGCTTCGTAAGCACCGCAAACTTAATGACGTCACACAATTAATGGAATTTAGTGTGTGAGCATAGCTTTTTTTCTGATTGTGTTATTTCTATTTAAATATTTAGCCGTGAGAACGTCAATTGTTTTTCCACTGAAATTAATAAGACGTTCTCGATTGTTCTTGCACGTTTTTTATCTACTAGTATTGATTTACATTTTCCATATTACGGTATTTCACCCTTTTCTCGCCTTTATCGATGGAATTTCAATAAACTTTCTATTGTTTGGATAAACAAGCTTTGTGAGGAATTCTTCAAATACTAACCAAGGTTTAAATAAGCCTGTTTTATAAAGTAAGAGCTTAATGTTGTACCTACATTATGCAAAATCGTGCTTTTTAAAAATTTCTTTTCAAATTCTTGTTTATATTAATTAAAAAATTTACAATCATTAAAACTCTACAGTCCTCAGCTTTCACATGTCAGTTTTAACCGTCCAGTTCGACTATTAAATTAAAACTTAAGGTGCATAGGCTTCAATTTATGAAATTCAACGAACTATAAAATCATTTTTTTTTACATTATAAGGTGACAAACGAGCAAACGGCCACTTAAATCCGCCGAAATGACGAAGTGACCTGCCCAACACCCGCAATAGCAGATGCGTTGCCTACCCCTAATCGAAGGAGACGCACAAAAAGATATTTCTCTTACCTATGTATCTCCTTCACCGTACCATGTTAAAATTTAATCCTATAATCAATTCTCTGTTATTCTTTGTAACAGTAAACTTCTTATTACCGTCTCTGATTACGGTTTCCAATTAACTCTCTTGGGTAAGAAAATGTTTAATTAAATACTCCCTTAATGAACAGTACTTTCAGGTTTCCCTTCATTAAGCACTTAACGAGCATCTTCAAATTGACATAAATACAGAACTAAGTTCTTATAACTTGTCAACTTGAATCATACTTTAATTCCGCACAGACGAAGTCGCGGGCAAAATATTATTTTACTTCTCACTAATATTACAAACATAATACTAAACTTTAGATGGATGATTGGATTCAACGTATCTCTAATACAGCTCAATGGATGTCAATGTAATCTAACATATGTATAAATGCGAAAGTTTAGATGGATGGATGGATGTTTGTTACAGTTACAGTTTCAGATGTAGAGGATAGTCCGAAAGAACACATAGGCTACTCGCTTTTGTTTTTTTTAATTCCACACGGACGGAATCGCGAGCGAAAGCTAGTATTATATAGATGGAAGACATAGTCTGGAGGATAACTTAGGCTACTTAAATCGTTTTTTTTTTTAATTCAGATCCAACGAAGTCGCTTGCAAAAAGTGTTAAATTCAAAATGCATACTGTATAAACTGCTCTTGATCAGTACATCTGAATACAATTATCGTTAGTTTACAATGTTGCTATCTTTATTTTTGGGAGAGAAATAATGGGATGGCAACATTATGTATGTTTACAATTTGATTGTATTCAAATGAGGTTAACGAATAACTTTAGTACTAAAATTCTAAAGCATTTCCAGTAATACCTCCGATACAATAGCGGGGAAAGCAAACATCGCCGAATTGAAACCTCTTTTGTTGGCTGAACAAAAACTTAAATGCAAAGTACACAGTCGGTAGGAAATGGATGATATTACCCTGTAGGCGTAGAATAAGTCAACAAAGGGAAGAAAATATCAAAGAAATACAAGGAAACATTATTCGCACGAGAACTGAGTCCCAAAAATAATATCGTACCGTCATGAGCCGTGCTTAACCGACGCTTCCCATGCTATCTTTTCCCGCCAATTCTTTATTGGTATAAGACACGATTTATAACACTAGCTATCTCCAGCTACTTTGTCCGCGACATTATTCATTAGAGTTACCTGTAACAGTTACCTACAAATATTTTAAGCATAATCATGGTTTAAAAAAAACTTTTGTTTATGGTTTCAAAGAAGTCTATGGTTTAAAATAATTGCAAATGGATTTTTTTATAATATAAGGTGGCAAATACGCTAACGGCCACCATGATTTAGACAAAAACATGTGAAATTGATAAAATCAGTTGCTCTCTCTTGATTTTAATATATCCATGTATAATGTAATGTTACATGAGATTAAATAAATAACGACTCGAGACTTTAACATTGACGTCCAATCCATTATATGAAATTGAACTGGCTATCTTTTGAGTTATATTCAGCAGAATTTACGAAATGGATTCCGAGTCACTTCAGATCAGTACAATATCTAGAGTATGACAAATCGAAAATATTAGAAATCATAAAATTGAAACGAGAACAAATTCACATTTATAACTTTAAATCCGGACGCTATTGGAAACATTTTAAATTAGACTCGTCAAAAGTACAAGGTATTTAACTGGATTCAAATTCAATCATATTTCATTTTTTATTATAATTTTTATCAGTTCATTACATCCCAAAAAAGAGGTTCTCAAATGTTATGTGTTCTTTCGTTATTTCATAACTCCGTTCCCAGTAGTCAGGATTTAATTTTTTAAAGCATAAAAACAAAGATCTTACTAAATATGCCACCACTAAAAATATCTAATGATTTAAACCTTTCCACACATCGTTCAACAATTCTATATTTCTAGAAATTTAATACTAAACTTAATATTTGGTAACTATATGTAATAAATTATGTTTAATATTATCATGTTGAATTATATCTCAATAACATTTGCTTCAAGCAATCACTTTAAGGAATAGGTCGTATTTTCTGATACTCGTTATTTCTTTATACGCAAAGGGATTTTGCTCATCCATATTTCCACTAACTTGATTTATATTTCCAAGATTTATGAAATTGTGGTATACAACATACTTTTATTACGTTACTACTAGTTTCTACTTTTTAGAATATGTATATCTATAATAATACTTGTATAATGAACTAAAATTAATTAGATCCTACATAACAGATACAAAAGTCCATTAAGCAAATCTTGGAGGACATATTGCAAAACTATAGATGTCTTGGAGCAAATAAAAGGGTACTGGCCGTATGCGTGCCATTTACCATGTCCTCCATCTCCTTAAGGACCCTGAACACTGGTTTTCTAGGACCTAGTTCATAGGTATATAGGTACCAAAAATATTTTTTTATATAGTGCATGATAAGAAAATACGAAATCAGAAAAACTCTGCTGTTTTTCCACATGTTTCTAGACCCAGTTATCTATATAATTTTTTTTTCTAATGTAATTTTAAAAATCGTTATAAAAAAAAGACTATTTTCCTTTTTACTAATGTCATCTTCGAACTAAACGTCAGATGTCAGTGTACTGTCATATGTCAGTAGTTGTCAGACGGATAAAGATTTTCGCAGAATTTCTCTATTTTTCATAGATTTTGTCTAATTATTTTAAAGAATATGATGTAAACCACGAAAGTAAAGTCTTACTTGTAAATTAATTGGATAAGAATGTTTCAATGTGTTTTAATTTATTTAAGAGAAAGGAACTTTAAGTCATAAGTACAAAGATTATTCAGAATATTTACGTATACAATACTTTTTTTATGAACAGCACAATAAAAATGAAGTATACAAGTGTTTCGGGCATTTTTTGCATTGTTATCACACATTACATTTGCGCTACATTATGTAAGTAAAATAATAAATTAAAATTCAATTTTACCTCTTGAATGCTTAACGATATATTTTTAAAAACTTCAGGCTCCCTGTCAAACAATCTTAAATATTATGAAACCCTTCATGCATCAAGTTTCAATCATCATATAGTGAAAAGAGGTGCAAAACAATCTAAGCATCCATTCAATACAATCAAAGAGATGCACTTTAGAACACTGGGCAAAGACTTCAGATTAATCTTATATCCTCACAGTACTGTGTTACATTCAAACTTCAAAGCATATGCAGTTGATGGTGAAGGAAAGAAAACTGTTGTTCATGTTGGTAAGACTCAATTTATTAATTAAGAAAAAAAAAACAATGAAAACCTTCAATAAATAATTAAATAGGTATTATTTGAAGTAGTTTTATATCTAGTTTAGATTTCAATTTGCTTGGCAACACATTGATATGAGATATGTAATTACCAGCTCACTGTATGTCCACACTGAGAAGCTTGGACCCTTAAGACAGAGTTAAGGGTGACTGGGTCATAGTCAACCATGTTGGGCCATGACATGTTGGTTTATTACACACATTAGATAGAATTTTTGCCGATATGTGCAGATTGCATCACACTTCCTTCTCTGTAAGAAAGTTGTGTAAATTATGCACATACTAGCTTTCGCATGTGACTCCGTCCACATGGAGTTGAAAAAAATAAAAGTGAATATGTGTTATTGTTATTCCTATGTGTTATTCCAGACTATCTTCTATATCTAGGCCAAATTTCATTGAAATCCATTCAGCCATTTAGGCTACAAACTCTAACAAACATCCATCTATACTTTCACATTTATAATATTAGTAAGATTAAATGCCAGGATTAAAACCCAGGACAAATAAATTACAAGATAGGTGATTAAACCCTCATGCTACCGATGCTTTCTATGAAATCTATATTACATGTAAAATATTTCCAGATCGAGACAACTTTTATACCGGCAGAGTGTTTGGTGAAAAATTATCAGATGTCAAGTTACACATACATGATGGTGTTGTTACCGGAGTGATACACACACCAGATGAGACATATCATATTGAGGTAATATCAACATGCCATTTTAAAAACATTAAAAATATACAAACAAGACTGAACATTTTTTTACCAGTACTTTCTCTAAAAAGTACCGTCAGTTGTCAAGTTTATTGCCACATTGATTTTACAAAGTTGTAAATAGCTCCATTCTTGGTTATATAGTGAACTAAATGGTTAAAATAATAATATATCAACATTAGTGACAAATTTTATCAATATAAATAAATAAATAAATAAATAAACAAAAACCTCTTTATTGCCATCTAAGAATACACAGAGTTGTACAAAATAAAAAACATACATGAAAAAAATTATAACATGGCAAAAGGGGAGGCTCAGCTTAACCGATATAGGTTGAGATCCAGTGTCAAGCTGGTTTTCAGCCACCCCCCTTCCCAAGATGTAAAATACACTACGAGTTTTCGAGATATATAGTAACAGACATCCATCTGTCTGTCTAAATCGCATTTATAATACTAGCTTTTGCCCGCGACTTGCATAGATTAAAACAAATGAATGTAGCCTATATTCTTCAAGACTATATTTTACATATATGCTAAATTTCATCCAGATCCATTCGGCTGTTTAGGCTACAAACTAACAAATATCCATCCATCGAAACTTCACCATTTATAATATTAGTATGATTAAAAAGTATGAAGGCAGATAATGTTTAAATACCTAAAATAACTTAATAATAATGAATCATTTGTTATTTTAGCCGTCATGGAGGCATTTACCTGACCAGGAAGATGGGACAATGATTACTTACCGCTCCTCTGATATACAATTCAGTTGGACTCACAACGGTAGTAGACCTCGGGTTTGCGGTTATGTTAAGGAAGGACAGGGTAAGTAGATATGAATATCATGCCTCAGGGCTGGTTACATCGGCTTCTTTAAATTACTCTTTAAGTCTATTAATTTTTCTGAAATTTAGAGAGAGTTTTTATGTTTTTGCTCAGTAATGAATAGAAATTATTATTTAATTCTACTAAACCTTTTCATAGTAAAGGCGTAAAGATCTACATTTTTTGAGTTTCCATAAGAGAACTAATTATTTTGCTCACAAGGGTTGGACTGCAAACTTGCGGTAAATTTATTCATTATAGATAACTAACTTATGCCCATTACTCTGTCTGTGTGGTATTTAAATAAACAAAAGTAAATAGCCTATGTATTCTTCCAGACTTTCCTCTACATCTATGTCAAATTTCATTTAGATAAATTCTCTAGATTAGATTACAAACTAACAAACATTACCTATACTAATATTATAAAGAGGAAAGATTTGTATTTTTAAATGTATAGAAATAACTCAAAAACTACTAGGCTGATTTCAAAAATTCTTTCACTATTAAATAGCTACATTATCACTAAGTAACAAAGGCCATATTATTAAATTTCATGCAGACGTAATCGCGAAAAAAACTAGTTTATAATATTAGTAAGATCCTTTTTTTCACTTTGAAGTAACCGTTGAACAGAAATTATTATTTGAATTTCCAGAACTTGAAGAGGAAGATGGGGAAGATTACAATTATGATCTTGAAAATAAACACGAGTTAGGTGAAAAGAATAAATATTTGAAGAAATCTCAACGAACGGAACATAAAACTTATGAAGATGGTAACAAGAGAGTGAAACGACAGAGTGACTACGAGTACACACCGACTAAAACAAGATGTCCCCTACTGTTAGTAGCGGATTATAGATTCTTCCAAGAAATGGGAGCTAGCAATACTAAGACTACAATCAGTTATTTGGTATGTATTTTAAACTGGCTGTTGCTCGCGACTTTGTCCGCGTGAAATAAAAAAATATAGCTTACTAGCTTCTGCCCGCGACATGGTTACTAGTCCCCTATAACGAGAATATTCCCAACAATTTATAGAAAAACTATGAGATTTTCGGCTTTGCTCTGAATAACGCATTATACAAAAGAGAGGGTTTTGTATAAAGTATACTAGCTTTTGCCCGCGACTCTGTGTCATAGAATTAAAAAACAAAGGCGTATAGCCTTTATTTTCTTCCAGACTATCCTCTACATCTATACCAAATTTCATTGAGACCCGTTAAGCCTACAAACTCTAACAACCTCCATCCATCCATCCAAACTTGTATTTACAATATTAGTAAGATGTGACTGACAGATGAAGACCTTTTTTAATAGTGAAAGAATTTTTGAAATCAGCGGAATAGTTTTTGAGTTATTTCAATACATACAGAAATACAAATTTTTCATCTTTATAATATTGGTATAGATATAGATTGTCAATTTCACTTTGAAAGTAAGTTATGTACAGTCAGCTACATAAAAATGTCAACAACTCCGAATATCCAGAAACTTGTTTTTATTAAAAAAAAAAGTTAATTAAATGTCTGTTTAATATTATACCGAACTTCAATGTTTTTTTTAAATTGAGTTTTAAAAGTTTTGTAAATTATACTTCATACTAATATTATCAATGTGAAAGTTTAGATGGATGTTTGTTAGAGTTTGTAGCCTAAAGTGCTGAACGGATCTCGAAATGTAGCCCAAATATAGAACAGTGTAAAATAACACATAGACTAATTGCTTTTTTAATTCCACGCGTAAGGAGTTATGGGCATAAACTAGTGAGCACATATTTATGATATTACTAACTTTCGCCGGCGACTCCGTCAGCGCGGAATTGAAAAAAAACAAAAGCAAGTACCCTATGTGTTTTTCCAGACTATCCTCTATATCTTTGCCAAATTTCATCAAGATCCCTTTAGCCGTTTAGGCTACAAACTCTAACAAACATCCATCTAAACTTTCACATTTATAATATTAGTAAGAAGTGAGATTTTAAAATAATGATTTATTATTTCAGATAAGTTTAATAGATCGTGTTCATAAAATATACAATGATACGGTCTGGCAAGATAGACAGGTCAGTGGTTTATTTTTCTTTTTAATACTAAAGCATCAAATTGTCTATGGTAGAGTTTTAATTTTTATTTACATTGTCACTGGCTAGCCATTAATTGTCTATGGATTTTTTGAAAAGGTTTTACTGTTTAATTTTATGAAACAAACGTGTCTGTTTTTAACAAGTCTGTGATTAGTGTTATGAATGTAAAATTTGTTGAATTGTTTGAATTCTACAAATAACATGGAATATATTTTTGTTATTATGCAATATTGAAATTTACACCAAGAATACATAAAGCTATATTAACTTCTGACGACAAAAATAACTTTTTTTATGTTTATTAAATTATATTTATTTTTCAAATCTTTCGAGACATTCCGTTAGAAATGTTAGTGTTTTTAATTTTTTTTTAATTGGGTTTTTTATTTATATGTCGGTTTTAGTTGTTTTTAAATGTTTTCTAGGATATGGATGGTTTTAAAGGCATGGGTTTTGTTATAAAGAAGATTCTGGTCCACTCGGAGCCGACGCGCGTGCGCGGGGGCGAGGCGCACTACAACATGGTGCGAGAGAAGTGGGATGTTAGGAATTTACTTGAGGTAACTTACGTTACTTATCTTACTAATATTATAAATGCGAATGTTTGGATGGATGGATGTTTGTTACAGTTTGTACCCTAAAGGTGAACGGATCTTGATGATATTTGACATAGTAGACGATAGTTTGGAAAAACATAGGATACTCACTTTCTTTTTTTTTATTCTACGTGGACGGAGTCGCGGGCGGAAGCTAGTATGTTTATATAATTGACTCTTCTCTAAGAAAATATGATGAATAATGGATAAAACTTCAATACATTGTAACTTTAATATAAAAAGTCGTAATTTTTATTTTTATCTTACTAACTTACTAATATTATAAATGCGAAAGTTTAGATGGATGGATGTTTGTTAGCGTTTGTAGCCTAAACGGCTGAACGGATCTCCATGAAATTTGGCACACGGACGAAGTCGCGAGCAACAGCTCGTGTTTCATAATTTCTTGTTTGTTTGTCTGGATTTAAATGAAAAATTGTTTTCTTTTGTCTTAAACTTGATTTTATGAGTTTATCAATATTTATTATAACTTTGACGCTTGAAAAATTAAAATTTATGGTACAGTTGGGAAATATGACGGTATTTCAATATTTTGTACATATTGAGACATAAGGAATAATAGAACGAAGGTTTTAAAAAGTGGTGATGTTTTTTTCTCAATATTTAGGTGTTCAGTCGCGAGTACTCGCACAAGGACTTCTGTTTAGCGCATTTGTTCACTGATCTGAAGTTCGAGGGCGGCATCCTCGGCCTCGCGTACGTGGGCTCCCCGCGCAGGAACTCCGTCGGAGGCATCTGCACACCCGGTATATCTTAATAATATTATAAATGCGAATGTTTACATGGATGGATGGATGTTAGAGTTTGTAGCCTAAACGGTTGAACGGATTTTGATGAAATTTGGTTTTTTATTCATGAGACGAAGTCGCGGGCGAAAGCTAGTATATACATAATATACACTGCTCTTTATCAAACTAATATTATTAATGCGAAAGTTTAGATGGATGGATGTTTGTTAAAGTTTGTAGTCTAAACGGCTGAACGGATTTCGATGAAATTTTGCATAGATGTAGAGGATAATCTTGAAGAACACATAGGCTACTTACTTTTTTTAATTCCATTAGACGGTGTCGCGGGCGAAAGCTAGTATACTTTATACAATAGACCCTCTCTATAACGTGATTGATGATACCGCATTATAGAAATCTTTTGTGTAAACGTTATTCAGAGCAAAGCAAATCACATATAGGTTGTTTTATAAATTGTTGGGAATATTCTCGTTATAGAAGGTAAATTTCGTGTTATAGGGGGATAGTATACGTGTTATAAAGAGACTTTTGGCGTTATAAGGAGTAACATCTTGGTGTGCAAAATTATTTCATAAAGTTAATTTTTCTTGAAAATCTAAACTTTCTTCGGGAATATTTAAGAAAATGGAGTACAAAAATTTTTCTTTATAAAAAATTAACGACAAACTCAAAATATGTATTACAGTTGATTTGTATGAAATTTTACAATATTTGATTAATAATATTCTTTTAAGCTTCGTTTGTATTTGTTTTTGCTTTTATTGTTCTATTTAAAAATGTTTTCTTGTCTTATTTATTTAAGGTATTATTTTGCATGAACGCTTCACACTTTTCACGTGCGTTTATTTTTATGTTGGTATTTACGTTTTGTTTTTATTTTCAGCCATTTCGCTGCGAAATGTGAGTGTTTTTTGTTTGTTTTTTCGTTTGCTTTATATGTTGATGTTTTTTACACAAATAAATCTACACATTTAGAGCGTGCGTACAACTTTGATTAAACTATCGCATAACTGTATAGTCTTGCTTTGTTTCCTCTGAGGTTATATGGAGGTTACACTACTTGTTTTTTAGTAGTATAGCCCGCTTTAACATCTTCGCACTGCAGGGCCGGCTCGTCGGTGCAATACCACGACCACACAGAAAACAGGCGTGAAGTGGAAGCAAATCCGCGTTTCGTCTGATGAGTGTGGTGCCGGGGACCTAATTTATAGTACCTTTCCCTTTCCACTCTTTTCTTAAGAGGGAAGGTTGGGAAGGAAAAATGGATTGACGGTGAAGGAGATGCATAGGAAGGGGAAATATCCTCTTTATGTACGTCTCCACCTCGGTCGATGAAGATTAGGCAACGCATCTGCAATTGCGGATGTTTATGGGCAGCGGTCGCTTTCCATTTCGATGGATTCAGGCCGCTTGCACGTTTGCCACTTCATATTAAAAAAAAAACTATTGAATTAGCTGCAAAACAATTGACAATCGCACAACAGTTGTGCGATTGTTAAGTCAAAGGTGTGCTCTTAGTTTTAAAATAGTTGTTTATATGATAAAACATCAGTTAAAGTGACTTTTACGGTTTTATAAATTTTCCAATAAAAATATCAAAATTGTTCATGATGAGCTGTATTTCTAAATTTACTTAATTTCTACTTAGAATAATATGTAAATTATAGATTTTGTACTACTTTAAGTTCCTTAAATAAATATTAGTAAATGTTATGTACACCAATATTTACATATATATAAGAACCGATACTGTGTACTTGAATAATTATATAAGTGTAAACAATTAGATCATACCACTTTGCCAGAATACTTCAAGAACGGGTACACGTTGTACCTGAACTCGGGTCTGAGTTCGTCCCGCAACCACTACGGGCAGCGAGTGATCACTCGCGAGGCGGACCTGGTGACGGCGCACGAGTTCGGCCACAACTGGGGCTCGGAGCACGACCCCGACGTGGTGGAGTGCTCGCCCACGGCCAGCCAGGGCGGCTCCTTCCTCATGTACACCTACAGCGTCAGCGGCTACGACGTCAACAACAAGGTGCGCCCACTCGAATGCACACATTCACATGTATACAGACATGTTTCCCATCATCACTAACGCTATTTATTGATAGCCTCAAAACCACATCGATACTATTATAATAAAGCGTAAACACACTTCTTTGTTGCCTAAGATGTAAGCAATTATAGCATATTTTTGAATAATTCTTTTTTTAATAAAAAGCCCTACACTTACGTCACGCTTTAGGCTATATATTTTAATCACAGTAAACTTAGGGGGGTAAATATTTTGGATAAAAACCCTAATGTGGGAAAGAGACCATAAGTTGCTGCCAACATCAAGGAAGGAAGGTTGCCATGGTTTATCATCGTCATGTCATTTTGACATTTGCAATTTGACAAATGTAAACAATAAAATAAAATTTTCATAATTTCATGCGGATGAAGTCGCATAGGAACATCTAGTTATTATATAAAATAAATTTGCAATAGGTGTCATTAAATATTTTAGTTTTATTTTGTAACTAGTATATTTTGTAATAAAAGATTTTTTTCACCATGCCTCGTCTATATGTTATTTAAATGTCTTTGGTCATATGCCATGAAAACAGTTATGTCTCTGACATAGAATATCTGTCTATGCTTCTTACTACCTTACTTAATGTGAAAGTTTGAACGGATCTCGATGACATTTGGCATAAATGTTTCCTGGAAATAATTATGGTTCAATGGATATTTACGTTTTCCTTTTTTTTTAATTTACTGGATATTTCTGCAACGGTTCAACAAATCTGATTAAAAGGCACAGATATAAAATAACTTTTGGAGTAACACTTCATCTCGAATGTTCTATAAATATTGTCCATTCAAACGATGAAAAGAGTCACAAGTAGAAGATTACGTAACTATTTTTGTGTAATGTCTACGTGTAGAGGTTCTCTCCGTGCAGCCTGCGCTCCATCAGGAAGGTGCTGCAGGCCAAGTCCGGCCGCTGCTTCTCCGAGCCCGAAGAGAGCTTCTGCGGCAACCTGCGCGTTGAAGGCGGCGAGGAGTGCGACGCTGGACTGCTCGGTAACACCCGCGGACGCACAATCTGTCCCTTTCACTCAAATAACGTTCTGTATGCTCTCCCTCTCTAACAGCTGTGCACTATCAGTCTATCTCTTTCACTCGTATTATGCTTCTGTATGCTCTCACTCTCGCATTGACACTACAAGCAGTCTGTCTCTTTCATTTATAATGTTGTTCTAAATGCACTCTCTCACTAACATGCATAATCAGTCTGTCTCTTTCACGCATATTAGCGTTTTGTATTTTCTCACTGTCTTATTGTACGTGTCTATCTCCTTCACTCATACTATCGTTCTGTATGCTCTCTCTGTCTGACAGATACTTGCAGAAGTAGTCTATCTCTTTCACTCATGCAGTCGTTTTGTATGCTATACCTCTCTCTCTGATCCTAGACTAAGCAGTCTGTTTCGCTCTCACACCATCTCTCATTTTCAGGTACGGAAGACAACGATATGTGCTGCGACAAGAATTGTAAACTTCGCAAGAATCAAGGAGCTGTTTGCAGGTATGTTTAATTTGGTAAGATTTTTATATTTACCCTACAAAGTGAGGATAATTTGCATATTTCATTTCTTAACCTTTTTCGAAGTTATCAAGTATTCTTCTATTAGACGAAGTCTGGTTTCTTTTTTATTTATTCTAGGTTATTATTTGTGATAGAGGGATCATT